TCTTTGCTAATGAAAAATAAAAAACCTTTTTTGGCTTGGTAGAGAATACAGTCTTGGAAAATATATTTAGGAGTAGAACCATTAATAAATTCACACATTTTTAAGTCTTCTTCACGGGCAAAGAAATTATTTCACACTTCTACACAGTTTTCATCAATACAATTACATTCACTTTCTTTTAAGCAGGAAGTAGGCTTAAATAAACTTAATAATTCCCCTTGCCCATTTTCTAAATTAACTATTTCATTAGCAAGCACTCTTTTTTTTAAGGCAGTTAATTGTTTTCTGATGATTGGTAAAAAATTAGCCATAAATGGTCGAAATCTTTCATAAGGGTTAGCAATGTAAGTTAGTTTTGGTTGAGGGTCATTTATTCTATCTCTTCAAGCTGAACCAATTAGTTCTTTAATCTTTCCTTCTTCATCTTCTAAATAATCTTCTCCTGTTTTGGGATTAATAATAACTTCATCAAAAATAATTTCACTAATGGTTTGGGTATAGTTTTCACGGGCTTTATAGGAAGAAAAGAGTTCAACCATGAAACATTTCATTGTTCCTTTATATTTTACTCCTCGGGTAATGGCATCTCAAACTAATTCTATTTCTTTTTCTTTAACATTATTATCTTGGCAATACTTACTAATGACTTTCTTTCAGCTTTCTAAGGAACCTGTTCTAATGCTGTCAAATTGTCTTCTTAATCAAATGAATTCTTTATTTTCTTTTTCTATTTGTTCTAATAAGTTGTATTTCTTATTGTAAGATTTGCCAACTGCTCGACCTCAAATAATTATTTTGGTGTTGGCTGGATGATTGAAAATGGGTTGTAATCTTTGATAACGAATATCCTTTTTATTCATAATAGCAGTCTTCACAATAACTTCCTTTCGGAGTAATCATTAAATCTTCTTCTGAAAATCATTTACTACATTTTAAGCAAGTTAGGTTTTTTTTGTTGGTGGGCATTTTGTCTTTGGGTTTTAGTTTGGTTGATTTGATAGGAGTTTAATCTTTCAGTATAGGTTTTTTGATAATCTTCCACTTTTTTAACTTTCATGGGTAATTCAAATATTCGTTCTCGTTCTTTTAGTAAGACAGGGTTAGGAATAATTTTGAAATAAAAGTTTTCTCGAATAGATTGAACATCAACTTCATCCAAAACAAGAACTTTTTGTTGTTCCGTTCGTTGATGGGCTTGGCATCAATATTCGTTTCGGGTATATCTTTTTCTTCAACAGTAATTTTTTTGTTTTCTTCAATTTCTCGTTTCTAATTGAGTTCGGGGTAAGATAACGGCTCCTTTGATATCGTTCAATTGACATTAAATCAAAAGAGAGTGGATAATTCATAAGTAGTTTTTAAAATCATTATCAGTTCGTTGGGGTAAATGGTCTTCTATTTCTCTTTCTAACACTAAATAATTAACTTGGCATTGTTGGATTAATTGAATTATTTTTTGAACTTGCTCGAAAGGATTAGAAGTAGAGATAATTCCTTTTTCTAATATTCCTTGGCTGGGGTGTTCATAAATTCAAGTTGTAAAACAACTGCCAATATCAATAAAAAGTATTCGGGCAACTATTCCAAGGAGAGTAAAAAAGGTCATTATTTTTGACATAATTGACTAACTTCTTTACATCCCCAAATCGGTCAACTTTTTTTTGGAGTGTATCATTTATGAGAATTAAGATAACGAATTAAAGTTAAGGGAGTATTAGGGGAACAAATGGAGCAGGAGTAATAAACTTGTTCATTATAAAGTTCTATTTCGGATAATTCAGATTGAATATTTTCTTTGTTTGGTTGGATTAATTTACCAGTTGTATTATTTTCCTTGGTTTCTTTTTCAGTGGTATTAATCCCTTTGCTTTTTAAATATCTTTCTTTATTCTTTTGTTGAATATAAGGCTTTCGTTTTTGATTATATTGTTTTCAGTAATTACTATCTTTAATTATTGGCATATTTCATTATAAGGGCAGGCTCCTACTTTATGAACGATATCTCTTATTCAGATAGAAAGGATAAAACCATTATCATTAATATCAGTAATAGTGGGAGTGCCTGAGGTATCATAAAAGACTTCCCAATTATCGTT